GCGGCGGGGGGCCGGGCGCTGAGGGATCCCCCTCCCTGGGGTTATGGTGAGGGGCTCCCTCTCCCGAAAGATGAGGGGGTATCCGGGGTTCAGGGGGAGGCAGGGCGCTTTACCCCGTCCCTGGGGTGGGGGGCTCCGGTCCAGCCGTGCGGTGCCTTGACTGCTCTCCGGGGGTTGGCAGGCGGCGGGGATGCGGCCGCACCCAGCCGGCATGTGCTGCCCGTGGGATTCGCTTTTTCTCGCTGCGAAGCCCTGACGCAGTTGCCTGGGGATGAGCAGCAGCAGGGCTGGGATCGCGGCAGACCCGCCCCGGGCTTCTGCGGGCGGCTGTGACTGCTCTCCGAACAAAGGAAGGAAGCTCGCTGCCCAGCCACGCAGCCGGATTCTCCTCTCAGTCCCTCCCCAAAAGCCCGGCACCGTCCTCGCTGCGGTCCCTTGTGCCGCTTGGCTTCTCTAGTAGTATCTAGTTCCTTACTCTAGCGGTGCTGCCCCGGGAGGGTTTCCCATACTGGGTGGGGCTGGAGCAGGCTCTATTGTCTCTTGTCTGTAGCCTCTCTACCTGTTAACCTTAGCAGGGAGCAGTGGTACACTTGTAACTCATCACGCATTCATCTAAGAGGCTGCTCCTATTCGGAGACAATTGCTGTAACTTTATGGAAGATTTGATCCTGCTAGGGTTTAAGGTGTCTGTATTGTTAAGCTCATTGTGTACTGTTATTTCAAATGGATTACAGGCAGCTAGATCTCAAAGAGCATGCTCCAGTGCTGGGGGAAAGTGAAGGCACTACTTCACTGAACATCCTTTCTCCGCTGATCAAAACCCGCAGTGTTGCATTGGCTATTCTTGGAGGGGGGTTCCCCACATAGGGAGCCATTTTGAGGGGGCAGGAAACAAGGTCTGTGAGACTGTTGTAGATAAGGGGTAGAAAAAGGGATGAGGGAACAAGAAAGAGCACGGTTTGTCTAGAAACAAAGAACGTAATGCATAGCATTTCTTAAGAATCGTCTCAAACTAAATTGAACTCATGTATTTCAGTCCTGCAGTGTAAGACTAGGCAGTGTATAAATCATGCTCTTCTGGGCAGGGTGGAACTGAGGCAGATTTTTTTGTTTTGTTTTTTGGTAAGCCATTGTTTTAAACACGCAGAAATTTCCTATTGAGCATTTGGGAATTTAAAAGGTGTCTCTCTGTTGCAAGAGCATTTTCTTCATGGAGGTGAGGTTGGTTTCTCAGCCTGCTACACATTTCACTGGATTTCATGCAAAGAGCAGTGCCTTTCTGAAAGTGTGGCTGTCAGCTGTTGCAGGGCGAATGCAAAATCCTGGGGTTGGGTGATGACTAAAAAGCTTTTCAGTTCACTCTTAGCTGGGTGACTGAATAGAATATCAGACCTTATGTTGAAGCTACTCTTAGCAGTTTGCTTGGCTACCCTTTTGTATTTCTGCTTGATTCACCAGGATGTCTTAAGTCTGTTTGACATCAGTCTGGTTGTCACTGCCCTGTCAAGTAGGGGGAGATATGGGTTGTAGTTGCAAGCCCTTGTTTGAACACTCTGCTCTAAGAACTAATAAATGTGGCAACTGATGATATGTAAAACAATAATAAAGTTTCCACATTTGAACACTTTCCCTAGAAGGATAATTTCTCTCTATCAAATATAAGATTAAATAGATTATTTTTAATTGACTATCTGAACAGTTATACCGAACTACATACCTCAGAAAGGGGGAGTAGGAAATCATAAAGGTATATGTGGATTCTTAAAAGCTGTTACTTTTAATCTACTTGGTAGTCTGGATTCCCCTACTGTATGTTCAATTTGTAGGGGAGAATAGGATTCTATACAGAATCCCCACCATACACTAAGGAGCAGTGCAATTGTTAAGTATTCCTCTCTAAAGATTTCTTATAAATAAGTTTTAAAAACTCAGTTCAGTTCTAGGATATTAAACAAATGAATTCACACCTATATAGGTGTTGTGTTGCTTGCCATTATGCTGCATTTGAGGTTAGCAGGGTAAAGAAGTGATTGATGTCTTGTGTTCTGCCTTTAGTATAGTAGGCTTAAGGTCTGGAAAGATCAGAATTAATTCCTAGCAGTGGTCATCCATATGAGTCAAAGGCTCACTATTCCAGCTCTGCTGTATTTGTGTTTGAATTTTTGCGTAGTGAGACTCTACAGACCTTTCTACTATGAACTGTAGGCTAAGGACCAAAAGTTTGTGAAACTGCACTAAAAAGGATTGGGATGCTGTCCACTTCACTCCTATAGAATCATAGGACTGTCTATCTTTCATAGCTTGAATCTGAACTTTATATGAAAGCAACTTCATTTGATAATCTGAATTGACAACTTTGTCAGTATTTTGAACTTCGGCTGAGCACTGTTCATGTTTACCACCACTTATGAGACTAGATGAGACTCTTCTGAGATTTCTTTGGTTTTCTCAGCTGTCACTTTTGATGAGCTAAAGGGATGCTATGCTGAAGAAAATAAGCTTTTAATTCCTTCAGCCATAAGTGTTGCGCTTTCTTGCTTTCACTTGACTTTCAGGAGGAGGTACCAAACAGGCTTCTTCATGTGACTTCCTGATCAAGATCTCACTGCTATATATATATATGCTTTTTTGGAGCTCTATAGACATGCCCAGGACTCTTTTGCTTTGCAGCTAAACTCTGCCCCTTAATAATCCCTGCTCAATACAGATGGCACTCAAGCAATTTTTACTTTAAAGCTTTTTGGCTCATCTCTTAATTCAGGAACCTGCTGCATGTTTGGGTTTTAAAAACATTGGAACAGTTCCAAATAGTCTGGAACCTAGACATGATCAGTGGTACAAATAGTACAGTGGTTCATGAGCCAAATGTTGGTCTTCACCACATTGCTCATTTCAAGATTAATTTTGCTGGGGTGTTTTAATGAATTTGGCTGTTTAGTAGTTGAAAGATTGGACTCTGAGATAAATAGAAGGCTTTTTTGGCTCTGAGTTTGAAAAATGTAGCATCTTTCATTGATCCGGGACACAAGGATAAATGGAACTGACTGTTCTATTTTTCCTTGTTTGGCTGTCTTTAATATTTAGTGTTGTGAATTGTAGTCTCTCTACAGTCCTCCGATTAGCCACCAAAAATATGAATAGCAGTGACCGAACAAATGTCTTTGTGCTGTCCTGAAGTATGTTGTAGGTCCAGGAGTGAATTACAAGTGTAACCCATTCTTGGTGCCCATCTAGTGCTTGACTTCTGAGTGCCAACAAGTACAGTGCTGGTCAGTGTTATTCACCTGTTTACTGTGAATTGATTGTGAAATCTAATTGCCTTATGAGTAGCTTTAGAACACTATGAAACTGGGCTCAATTTAACCCATTGTTTAACCCATGTAATTCTATTATATTACAGTTCCCAGAGACATCAATCCCTTTGCTTACCCAACCACCTTTTGTATAATATTTCAGTAACACTGGTGGTAAAATTCTTGAAATATAAGATTGTCACATTGAATCTTTCTGCAGGGTACTGCGCCCTCCAGGTGGAGGTTCCAATTTCAACTTGAGCTTTGATTTGCCAAAAGAGCAGCCGGTGCGAAGGAACAAAATGGCATCCAACATCTTTGGTCTTCCTGAAGAGAATCCAATTTCTAGGGCTGGCTCAACAGGTAAAGCTTCACTCTGGTTTCAGTGTCTATTCTAATGTCTAGTGACTATTCTAATTTTGTAATGCTTTATGGAAAAGGCTGTGAGTGACCCCTTGAATTGTGGAGCAGAATCATTAGCATCCTGTAGTGGATGCAGCTGATGACTTCATAGTACAGAGGAAAGATGGTTTCGTAGTTAAGGCACTGGACTGGGATTTGGGCAATGGGGACTAATCTCCGCCACACATTTTCTATGTGACCACGGACCTTAGTTTCTCTGTGTAAATCAGAAAAAGCAGTACTTCTGCCTCAGCGGTGAGACTGTGAGGATAGATTCACTAAGGTTTGTGAGCCATTTTAATATGGCAGTGATGAGAAGCCTAGATGCCTAGGATGAAATCTTGTCCTGCTAGGATTTTGCTAGTTCATCAGAAATAAAGCTTTGGATAACTGTGCGAGTCTGCTTTCTTGTAGGCTGACTTTACATCCTAACTAAGACAAACTTTTGCTTTCAGGGGCCATGCCCGGAGGTGTCAGAGAAGATTCTGAACCATCTGGACCACAAAGGATAAACGCTTCTGATGCAAACTGTGGGGACTTTGTAGATCCAAAGGTTAGTGACTATCAAAAGCTTGTGCTGTGCTTGTGGCTGCTTAACCACTGCTAGTAAGATTGTATGGTAGGAAAAGGGCCTAAAGGCAGGTAGGTGGCTTTATTGTGGCCTCTTACTTTCTACCTGGAGAAAGTATGAAATCTCCCTGCACCTCTAACATGCTGTGGGCAATCAAACTAAACACTGAGTTATAGATTTTTAAACTGGGTGTTCAGTAACATTTTCTGGCTTGTCCCATTGCAAAAGTCTGGTAATGGTGAGGAAATCCCATGCCTTAGCCACAAGTTCAATATCATTACCAGCATTTGCTTGTAAAGTTCAAGCTGCAGTGCTCTTTAATCAAGGGGGGGGGGAAAGCGTTGGGGATGCCAGCTTTGTGCTGGAGTGTAAAACAAGTAGCCTGGATACTTGTGTAAGGAGTTCCCTGGCTGTCATCTACAGGGGGCAGCAGATGCATTAACCTCTGTACGTGGTCTAGCTTCTTGGGGGGATGGGACAAAGACCCATGCTATTAGCACAGGTTTTTGCTTAGTATGTGATTCCAAATGCTGGAGAAATAAGATATAGAATAGTAGCTTCTCTGCACATAGCAAAATTGGGGAGGCTAAAGCAAACTTCACATCTGTGATTAAATTCTGAAAACTAGTCATCTCTCAATCTAAAATTCAGTAATTTTCAAGAAAAGATAAACTGGGCAAAGTATAGCCCCCAGGTATGATGACAGGGCAACAGATAAGTGTCTGGAGACCTACTGTTACTCATATTTAAATGGCATCTAAGTCACAAAGACAGATTAAAGTTGACTTTTTTGATCGACAACAAGACTTGAGTGTAGGAAATGTTTTGTTTGCTGAATTGGAACGTAGTGGCTGTCAATTTCATCTGGTGGTTACAGCAGAAAACCAAAGTAAGCTGTTTGGTCTAATTCTGTTAACTGTTTAATTGTATTACATATTCTGTAGCCTGCAGAGGCTGACTTTGTGAACATAATTCCTATCCCACAGAATGCTTCACTTGCACAGTAGCTGTATCTGCAAGCAGTTTAAACTAGTATAGTGTAGTCCAGTCCAGAATTTAAGAGGTACATATACATGCTTCAGCCTGACTCATGTAATTCTATTGACGTCAATGGAGCTGTCAGCTTACACCTGAGCAACAGGCACACAATTCTGTTAAGATTCATTAGCTCACTGTTAAAGGGCTGATCTGCATCAGGGAAATGACCTAGTACTGTATCGATTGCCAGCAAGAGTTTCATTTTCGGCCCCAACCTGGTGTTAAACTATCTATCTGCTTAAGTAAAGAAATTTTCAATGCTGTTACAGAAAATGTAATTGGGGCTGAGTGGAAGGTGAGCCACCTTTTGAGAGAGCCAGTGTCAGGGGGGTGGGTAAGCTTCCTAGAGCAGAGGGGGACAAACTGAAAATAATTACCTACAATATATTAAAAACTGACTTCATCACTTCATGGCTGTAAAATGTAGCTCGTGTAAAGTTATCAAAGTGAACTCTTTCTAATGAAATGCTAGATGAACAGTGTTGGACTAGTGCTCGTGCCCATATGTGCAGGAACCAGATGGCTAAAGACAAGTTTCCATGTCATTGTAATTCTGGCCTCTAGAGTGAGAGTAGCATCTATGCCAGAGGTGGGCAAACTACAGCCCGTGGGCCACATCCGGCCCGGGGGATCATCCTGCCCAGCCCTTGAGCTCCTGGCCGGGGAGGCTAACCCCCGGCCCCCCCCTGCAGCCTTTCCGCCGCGCAGGCAGCAGTCTGGGTGGTGGGGTTGCGCACTCCTGCAGGGCAGTGCGGCAGCGTGTCTGGCTCCAGCCAGGTGGCACAGCTGCCAGACATGCTGCTCTGAGCGGCATGGCGAGGGGGTGGGAGCGGGGGGTTTGATTAAGGGGTAGGGGTCCTGGGGGGCAGTCAGGGGACAGGGAGCTGGGGGCGGCGGTTGGATGGGGTGGAGGCTCGGGGGGAGGGGGGCGGTCAGGGGATGGGGGGGTGGGGGGCTTGGATAAACGTGGGAGTCCCAGGGGGCCTGTCGGGGCAGGGGAGGCTGTTTGGGGAGACACAGCCTTCCCTACCCGGCTCTCCATACAGTTTTACAACCCCAATGTGGCCCTTAGGCCAAAAAGTTTGCCCACCCCTGGTCTATGCCCATTCAGTTCTTACCACTATGTTCTTATAAATGGACATGTCTAACTCATTTCTCTGATCAGTTGGCAAAATGTCATTGTAGAAATTTGGTTGGTTGAATAGACCACCTCCATAGGTGTGACTTGCAATGTTTCTTCTGATCAGCAGAATACATGCATTGTCCACAGTCCCGCCTTGACATCTGATCTGGAAAATCCAGCATCCCAAGATTACTTCCTGTTTCTGCATTCCCCAACTCAGAGGGCTCTGTTGGCATAGAGAAGCATGCTAGATTAGCTTTGTTTAGCAGTCGTTGCTAGGTGGGGCCTAGTGTTCAGTGCTGCACACTGTATCTAATATTGAAAATCCATTGCAAAGTACAGGAAATAATGTGTGTTCTCTCTTCTAGGACGGGGAAAGCGGTGAAACTTTTGGTGAGTAACTCTCCCTTTCTGGTGTCTAACCTGTAAGAAGTCTTTCAGGAACAAATGAAGTTCTGGTGTATTTGAGGTGTTGAAAGGAGATATTGAATATAATCCAGCCTGTGGTTACCTTTTAGATCAAAAGGGTGGTGACTTGAATATTTCCAATATTCGGTTAGATGTAGATGGAGTCTAATTGTAGAATGCCTCTGTTTTTGTTTTTAACCCAGTGAATTTGGGGTCACAGCCTGTTTCTTTGCCAGCAGTAGAGTTAGTGCCAAGAAGTCTGCATTTGGGACTAATGGATTAACTCGAAACCCATGTTACAAGGGAAATGGAGTTGGGGGAGGGACAACTGCACCATTTTAAGTTTAATACCTGCATTTTATTTAACCTAAATCAAATAAATCTTAATGTGTGACTATGGGAGTTATGAAGTTTTCTAAGACTTCTTATTAGCATCCTTAATTATCGGGGATGCCACAATGGATCATTAGTACTAGGATTTTAAAATCAATGTAGATGAAGCTTTGTAAGTGACTTTAGTTTCTGAACATTTTGCTGACACTTCAAAGAGACTGAGTTCAAACACCATGTAAATATTAAGTTGTGGGTTTAGTTTTGTTTAGAGTAAATTCAAAATAAAGTGAGATGAAATGTGACTAAGTCTTGCTGATCTTTGTAGCTATTTATCCAATATATGCCGTTAAACAGGCAAAAATGGTCTTTTAGCTGTTGAGCCAAGTGCACAATAAATGGATAGACTTTGTCTCAGAGTGAAGGTAATTGCCAGAGTATCCCGAGTTGGCAGCAATCACAAGAAGCAAAATCCATGTGTTAATAGTCAATGACTACCTGCAAAATGTGGCACTTGCAACTCTGATCCAGAATGAATAAGCAGCTCCTAACACTGTCCTCTGGTCAGACAGGATTTGCACACTTGAAACTGAACACTTTAAAGAGCCCCACTTGAACATGAGTCAGTTACCTGCTTCCAGAAGGGACTTTCAGAGCACTCATAAGGTTCATATTTTCATCAAAGCTGAGCTTTCTTCACTAATCCAAATGGATATTCAATAACCATAGGGATTTGTGTGCGATTCCTTAGGGCAATGGTGTCTACCCTGTGCCCATTAAGGCTCTTAATTGTGGCCCTTGAGGAGGGTGACTGTTAAGTGGAATTGGTATTTGATTATAAATTGAAAGTCTTATTAATATTCATGTAATCTTTTGACAAGCCTCTTGGAAACCCTAGGCTCATTCTTGTTTCATGTGTATTCATGACATTTTTAATCTGATTCCAAGTTCATTAAGCTAATAGTTTTTCTCTTGGTCTAGCACTCAACTTTATTGGACTATCAGCTGAATAGCCTTGCTATTCATGCACTGAGGATATGCTTCCTCCTGAGAAGCTGGGTTACAGTGCTTTTTCTCCATCTGGAGGTCACGGAAAGCTTTGTGGTCTGTTATTAGGGGCACGGGCAGCTTGAATCTGTCTTAGTTCCTCAGTGACCAAGTAGATTTAGCTTCAACTCTGTTAATCGATCTTTTGGCAGGGACCTCTTCTTAAATGCTTTACCTAAAACCTCTTCAGGATTGGGCAAGCCTAATGGTACTCAAGTCAGAAACAACTTGCCTTTCCTTGTAGGACAAATGATTACCATCAAATTAAACAATACTTGTAATAAGTGATTGTTTTCTATAACCTGATAAGTTTTCTGTATTTTAAATTTTGTGTATTGGATGGCACTTGGTAATTTTCACGGTTATACCAGTATAGTTAGGACCACATGGAAATGGAAACTTTCACACCAACAGAGTTCTTTAAAAATAGATACGATTGCCAAAAAACAACAAATTGGCAGGGAGACTCAAGGACAAGTATAGTCGTAAAGTGATTCTTAACTCCTCTTTATTTCAAGTGCATGGTGTCCTTTTTAATGTCTTTACCAACTAGTTTTGCTGAGCAGGAGTTTATTAGCAAAATAATCCATGTAAATATGGAAAAGCATTCATACCTTCGATCATGAATAGTCTTTTCCTCCAGGGTCTAGGTGAAGTCTAATGCCTTTCCCACCTTCTTAAATTTACACTAGAAATAGCCCATTTCCTGATTAGAACAAATATTCATTTCTTTTTACCCCAGTACTTCCCTCAGTGCTACTTTCCACACCTGTAAGCTTTAGCTTCCGGATGAAGATCAGCAAAGCTGTTAACAGCTACATTTCCTGAAAGGACTTCTCCTTAAAGGTTTTAAGAAGGAGAAAAATCTTTCCTCCAAGTAGCAGCTATGGGCTGGGCTTGACATCTGGTAGCCAAGCAGCAAGTGTTGGTGTGGGAAGAGTATCTAATGCCCCTGACTCAACTATGCAGCTTTCCTTAATGTTTTTCCTGTGAGCTATTACTAATGTGGCTTAATTAGCATTGCAGTGCTGGGCTCTGAGACTAGGGTTAGAAACTATTGAGGCAAGAGCATGAGTTTCAATATTTTTAGGAATGAACTTTTTCTCTATTTTGCCAACACCATTACTAGCAGCAAATGTGACTGGTACAAAATATTCATGTTGTAGCTCTGCTTATAATTGAAACCCCAGGGCTACTGGAATAGTTACTTCCAACTGCACTGGATAGTCAGTCAACCAATTTCTCACTTCTTGGTTTGCTTCCTGTAGATGGCCATGTCAGTGAAGTAAACAGCCATTTAAGCAGCAAGTGAACTGGAGTTGGTTTTCCTGACACAACATTACTGGAAAGTGTTTTGGTTTTAATAAATTGTTGTCTTCACAACTTATTCTGACCAGCCACAAGCAAACCACTCAGACTTAAACCTAATGCCATTAACATGCTTTGGAAGAGAGTGTAAGAATACTTTACAACTCAAGAGCAGAAATGCTAGGAAGGCACCTCCTGAGTGTGAAAAGTCCCTTGTGAACCCTGGCAAATCACTGAATTTCTCCTCTTTTCTCTCCTCTCCCCTCCCCCCCCAATCTGCTGTGGATACCCCCAGGCAAATAGAGTATGGTCAGAACTGCACAGCACAATGTCTCTTGATACTCCTATCCTGTGAAATGTTACATCAGTCATGTAGGTGAATGTTCCATGTCCCATGTTGCTCATATTTCCAGTCTTGTTCTGATATTTATTGTATAATGTGTCTTTGGTTTTTGAATGGTTCATGGAGGAGTGAGTTTAGACACCTCTGAAGGGGAAAGCTTTCTGCATTTAAAGTTCACTATCTCAGTTTGGGGTGGTGTTACAGGCACTAAATCCTAATGGGTAAGTGTCTTCTCAAAGGATACTCTCTCTAAAATGGATCGTATTCAAATCTAGTCCATCCCCATCCCAGAACAATTCTGTTCACTCTTCTGAATTAAGACAAGCTGCTTTATGACGAACAATGGTGCTTTGAGTGCTTAGTAAATCTTCAGGTTTTTGCTGGTTTTAAATTGATCAGGTGTACACACATCTTCAGGATAAAATCTCATTGGGTTCTCAAGGAAATACATGTTTTCAAAAGGGTATAATCTGTCTGCATTATGGCTCCCAGAACTGGGTTCATAGGATTCATTTACTGTTCACGTAAAGTGCAGACAATAGAGCATTCAGTTCTCAATATGAATCCGCAGTCTGTACCATAATATTTCTCAGTTCTGCTGAGTAGGCTGGCAGGTTGGTTGGTGTGCATGAGTTAAGAATGGTGTCAGCCTGAGGCTTCCATAGGATTTAGAAGTCTGCTGCCTGGTTTCAATGTGCCTATGAGCTAATGGTTCTGGTAGTAAATCATTATATTCTAGAGTCTCTCTCCACTTTAACATCCAGATTTGCTCTTTCAAATAAATGTCATTAGTATTTTAACTAGGGCTATTTTCTGACACTTTCAGGAAGAAACTGTCAGTGTCTACTTAGTTCATTGACCAGTTTGGAGCCATTGGCTTATCAGTGACCTGGAGAGCTGCTGGATCTCACTTCCAGCTGATACATCAGTGTAAACCGCTTATCCACAAGCAGTGGCTCCAGCTGCCATAGGGGTGTTGATGAGGCTATATCTAAGATATGATCAAGACTGGAAAAGCTTGAGAACACAATTGCAATAAACAGCACTTGACTTAACTGTACATACTATTGCAGGGGTCAGCAACGTTCAGTACACGGCTCGCCAGGGTAAGCACCCTAGCGGGCCGGGCCAGTTTATTTACCTGCTGACGCAGCAGGCTTGGCCGATCGCAGCCCCCACTCGCCGCGATTTGCCGTCCCAGGCCAATGGGGGCGGCGGGAAGCGGCGCGGGCCGAGGGATGTGCTGGCTGCGGCTTCTCGCCGCCCCCATTGGGGGCTACGATCGGCCGAACCTGCCGCGTCAGCAGGTAAATAAACTGGTCCGGCCCGCTAGGGTGCTTACCCTGGCGAGCCGCGTGCTGAACATTGCCGACCCCTGTACTATTGTATGTAGTGCATTGGTCTGAAACAGTGGTTTTCTAATCTGTTTGTTTTCAAGCTTCTGTTGCTTCAAAGGAATATGGATGCATTCTGTAAAGTGTAGGCAGGGCCGGCTCTAGGTTTTTTTGCCGCCCCAAGCAAAAACATTTTTGGCTGCCCGTCACCCCAGCCGTGGGCTCTCACCCTCCCCCCTCACCCGCACCCTCTGCCACCCCAGCCCTAGGCACCCCACCCGCTCCCCCCTCACCTCCAGCCGGTCCGGCGCTGGCAGGGTCGGGGTAAGCAGCAGGGCTCCCAGGCCACGCCTCAGCCCAGGGTCCCTCCAGCCTGGGCTCCTGCCTCCAGGACCAGCCGTGACCCGGGAGGGCAGAGCTGAGGACGGCTGAGGCAGGGGGCTGAGGAGCCGGGGCAGGGTAGCCCCAGAGGGAGCGGAGCCCCAGAGAGCGGGACATGGCCCCCGCCCTCTATGGCCCCACTGCTGCTGCTTCTGGCCGCAGTCCCTGGGCGGCTCGGGCTGCTTCACCCAGCCCCGGCTGCGGCGCTGGGGCGTGGCCGCCCTGCGGCACCTGCAGGCGGCCCCCAGCCCGAGTGTCCCCCGCTTGGAGCCTGCCCAGCCACGCCACAAGGTGCGGTGCTGCTCCCCCACGGTGCGAACCGCAGCAGCCCCAGGGCGCCCCCATGCACAACATGCTGCTGCCAGGGCCGGCTCTAGGCTTTTGCTGCTGGAAGCAAAGCACCAAAAAAAAAAAAAAAAGCCAGAATGCCGCCCTTGAAAATGTACCGCCCCAAGCACGTGCTTGGTTTGCTGGTGTCTAGAGCCGGCCCTGAGTGTAGGATCCATTTATCCAGTCAGTTTCTAATCATGCATTGTTACTTCAGATTTTACTATATAAAAAGCTTAATCTCTTTGCTGGATCATTGGGAATTTTATGTATTTCTGATGCATCAACATAAGAACTAATTCTCTTCCATTGGTCTCACATAGGTGAAGTTTGCTTCAAGATGTTTAAAATGCCCTGCTCAAAGTTGTTCTTGATTAAAGTTTGCTGATCAAATACCTTTCATTTAGTCTACAAACCTGAATAATAAACTTTGTCCAAAAGGAATCTTTCATCAAAACAAGACTCGGTTGACTTGTCAAAAGGAGTTGGGTGTGTGTGTGGTGTTTTTTGTTTTGTTTTTTTGCTACCACTGATGCTTATTGCCACTTAACCGTGACCTATTCTATTTAGTTACAGCAAAGCCCACAGTCCTCTTCATACTTCCCAAAATTCTGAAATAAACTTAAGTAATCAAGACTAGACCTCTGAATAGCTGAGAATTTGGGGGGAAGTGGTGCATTTTCTTGAACTTCACAGCACGCATACGCTGGATTTTGAGTAAACATGTGACACCCTTCCCCTGAAATTCCAATAAATTTTCCCACAAATAGTGGATTAACTACCTGGATTGTCTTAAGAAAGCAGAGGGTCTGCTGTTCTGGGCCAACTATATGGAAGCTGTCACAAGCTGCAGCAGAAGCTAATTGAGGTGCCTCACTCCTTGCACAAAGATTCACTTAATTAAAACTCCTTTCCCAGAAATGTCAATGGCTATGAATGAGACAAGCTGGATAACTGACTGTAATGAATAGAAAACTCAATAGAGTTGAATCCCTAGCAAGCAAAATTTTATTGAATGTGCTACGTGTGTACAGTTCCTGCATGTGTGGGCATGTTTGTTTTTTATTTAGGGTCTTTTAACAGCATTAGAACTAGATGAAATGGTGCACTCTTTTCAAGAGATGTAAGCTTCAAGCAGGCCCACACACTTTAATGTGAATCTATTGAAGGCTTGTAGACAAACTGTAAACAAAGACCACAGAGGTTTAGGAAGGGATTAGGCATTTTATCTCAGTCAGCCTAGAGTCTGTGGCTCCAGTTTGTGTATTATGCTGTGAATGTAGCATTTAAAACTGTTAAATGCAGAACTCCCGTTCAGACCTGCATTGTAGTGGCTTAGTATTCAACGCATGCTGAGACTTTTCACTAGGAGCCATTAACAGGTTTGATGATCCATAACATGCATGACCACAGGGGTGCTGGAACAATTTGTATAGTGGGGGTGCTGAGGTTCATTGAAACAAACTGTAAAGCCCATATCTGATGGAATCCACTTCAAGCCAGGGGTGCAGCAGCACCCCTAGTTACAGCACCTATGCATGATCATACTAATTGAGGTTACTTCTTGCCATGAATTGCTGGCAAGTGCAGTTTTGATGGTAATTGAACTAAATTGGTCCCTAAATGACTATAGCAGGGACCGGCAACCTTTCAGAAGTGGTGTGCTGAGTCTTCATTTATTCACTCTAATTTAAGGTTTCGTGTGCCAGTAATACATTTTAATGTTTTTAGAAGGTCTTTCTATAAGTCTATAATATAAACTAAACTATTGTATGTAAAGTAAATAAAGTTTTTAAAATGTTTAAGGAGCTTCATTTAAAATTAAACTAAAATGCAGAGCCCTCCCGGACCGGTGGCCAGGACCCGGGCAGTGTGAGTGCCACTGAAAATCAGCTCGCGTGCCACAGGTTGCCTACCCCTGGACTATAACCAAGTGTAAGATGTGATAGTCTCTCGAGGAAACGTATTTGTTACTCACCAAAAAGTTAATGCTGTCTTGCCAGCAGATGTTGAAGCAGAACTTGGGGGAGGGGGGAGTACCTGAGAGAGTTGGAGATTTCCCTTTCTTCTTTTTCATATCAAACACCCTAAAATCTTTTCTTCTAGAAAACATTGAGGCTGACATAGAAGCTGCTCCAGGCCAGAGTGAAGAAAAAACCCTGCCTGCTGCACCTGTTCCTAGTCCAGTAGCACCAGTACCTGCACCATCCAGGAGAAATCCACCTGGTGGAAAGTCCAGCCTAGTCCTCGGTTAAACGTGTTCCTTTCTGACTGTTTTGAACTCGTGTCTGTTTCTTTTCCCCCCATGCTTGTGAACTGCACAACTTGAGCCTGACTGTACATCTCGAATTTCTTTCATTAAAAAGAAGCACTTTATGTACTGCCATTCTTTCTTTTTTAAAAAAGAACAAGTTTTTTCCATTTCTGTTTGGTCTCCCCTGGATCTACTGGAAGTTACATGAATGTTTTCTAGTAGTAAACATGAGGGAAAGCATGGAGGGATAGTGATGTATTTCAAAGGAGACTAGATTGGTTCTAAGTGTGCTTAGAAGGTTTTTGTACAGAGATTTTTAGAACCTCTTATAGTCAGCTTTACAAGGGTTTAGAATTCTAGTTGACCAGGCCAGCAAACAGTCAATGAGAGCAGTCCCCTTCACCGCACACAACTGTTGGTTAACCAAAACTTAATTGACTTCCATGTGGTAAATGTCTCAGAACAGTACAGAAGTGTGATCTAGTATGCCATGCTGCCTTTAACAAGGAGTATCTTAGAGTTGGACCATTATGAAATGGGGCATGTGCCATATTTAGGGCTGAGATTCCTGTCCTAATATTGGGACAGCCGAACCTTAAGCCAGTAAAGGTGGAATGAGGTGTGGATCATACAAGAGTGGTTGTTCAAGTAAAAATTACAAGGGCATTTTATTATAAATGACTCAATGCTGTGCATGATCATGCTGGTGCTTGACCATGAGGTGAAAATCTCATCCTTTTAAAATGTGTGTTGTAACTTCACAAAGCTGGACTGTTGCTTAAAAGTAAATAATATAGAAGTTTTGAAGCAGTGTTTCCTGTGTGGGTTTTATTTCAATGTTTTCATTTGTATCTTGCCTCAGTCTACTATGGTACAGCATGCCTGATCTTTCCTTTGAAATGCTTCCCTTTGTTGTTATAGCAATAGTTTAATTAACCTATGTGTAAATAAACAAAAACACAGGGGGGTTGTAAATCAAGAAACATCCCACAGGAGTTCAGATTGGAAGGGTCATCTCTGATCACCCTTGTGCTCCACCGCCTCAGTATCCTGTCAGCAGGGCTAGCCCATGATCTGAAGCATGATGGCTTACATTCCTTTAAAAAAAGTAACTAGATGTGTAATTCTCTCAGGATGGCACTAAGGTCTTATCCAAATGACAACGTGTGGCAATGAGTGCCACAGGCTAAACACTTCTCTGCATGCCATTTTTCTGTAGGATGGGAGGGGAAGTAAGTGCCTGATGGACCAACTTTATACCAATCACTATGTTCCACAGGCAAGCATATCATGATTTATTTTGTTGCTATTTTTTCCCTCTTTTATATATGCTAATTTATTTTTTTTCAAATGGAGTAGTGAAAAGGGGCTCCAGTATTACTTGTCTAGCACCATCACTTTGAAGTTCCTTTGCAGGGGGCAGATTTACAAGCCTGCTCTTCCATCACTATACAGGCATGCGTTACACATAGCAAGAGCAAAACAAACTTTAGCGTTAAAATCTGAGCTTGCCTTGATTTAATTTTTGGACAGACTAAGAAAAGTCAAGTAATTATGTTGAGACTCTCCAGGTGCTGTGGAATGGCAAAGACTTAAAATAAACTTGTTAGCTCTCCTCCAAATTCTCAATCTGCCCTAAGGAAACAAGCAGGGATAGTGCAGCTAGTTCAAAGAGCGCTGGGATCAGCTTGTGTAGGTGAAAAGCTCTAGTTCTCGCATCTACTTATGGTGATATGAACAAATCCTAGTACTGTAATCACCAAAAAAAAAAAAAATTGTGGGAGGCCTCCTAGAACCTAGCCCTGAAACGGGTTAGGCCTAAAGTTCAGGCAGCTCCAGGACAGGCATGGGCAAGAAAGCACTTATCCAGCTGATCCTAACAAGCCTGCGACCTCCCTTGCTCCGAGCCCCCCGCAGCACAGACCCGGCTGCGCTTTGGCACTCGTTCTGCCGCAGCTTATTGCGGAGATGGAGAATTTTCCCCACTCACTGCTCCGGAACTCAGCCCTGGCCGGGCCTCGCCATCGCTTTGGAACCACTTCTGCGCGCGGCCCCCGCAATCCCCAGTGCCGCGAGCGCTGAGATCCCTGCTGCCGCCGGCTTGCCAGGGGCTGATGAATATTCATAAAGACAAGCTCCGCCCAGTCCTATTGAAGAATAGCCACTGGGGGCTCTAAGGCGGCTGTCGCCGCGCTTGCCTGCTACCACGTGGGTTCTAGTCTAGACGCGGCCGCGCTGCAGCCGACCCCGGGCGCTATGGCGGCCTCTGCCGCGTCCCGTCTCCGCGTGCTGGTGGACATGGACGGGGTGCTGGCTGACTTCGAGGGCGGAGTGCTGCGGGCTTTCCTGGCCCGCTACCCTGGGGAACCCCACGTGGAGCTGGCGGAACGGAGGGGCTTCTCCGTCCGGGACCAGTACCGCTGCCTGCGGGAGGACCTGGCGGTGAGAGGCCGGGGGCTGGAGCTGGATCGAGGGCAGTGGGACTGGGCAGAAGTATTCCCCAGATTGGCATGTGGGCAAAGGGGGTGCCCCAGCTGGCCGATGCGCTGCACTGCGCGGTGGGGCCGGGGGCAGTGTGCCCTGGCTGGGCAGACGTGCTGCAGGGGGAGGGTGCTAATGCGGGGTAGGTGTGTCACAGAGCAAGGGGGACAGAGCAAGCTGGTACATGGCTGATCAATGGCTCCATGTCTAGTTGGCAGCCGGTATCAAGTGGAGTGCCCCAAGAGTCGGTCCTGGGGCTGGTTTTGTTCAATACCTTCATTAATGATCTGGAAGATGGTGTGGATTGCACCCTCAGCAAGTTTGCAGATGATACTAAACTGGGAGGTGTGGTAGATACATTGGAGGGTAGGGATAGGATACAGAGGGACCTAGACAAATTAGACAAGGGGTTCTCAAACTGGGGGTCGGGACCCCTCAGGGGGTCGTAAACTGTCAACCTCCACCCGAAACTCCGCTTTGCCTCCAGCATTTATAACGGTGTTAAATATATTAAAATGTGTTTTTAATTTATAAGGGGGGGTCACACTCAGAGACTCGCTATGTGAAAGGGGTCACCAGTAAAAAAGTTTGAGAGCCACTGAATTAGAGGATTGGGCCAAAAGAAATCTGATGAGGTTAAACAAGGACAAGTGCAGAGTCCTGCACTTAGGACGGAAGAATCCCATGCACTGCTACAGACTAGGGACCGAGTGGCTAGGCAGCAGTCCTGCAGAAAAGGACCTAGGGGTTACAGTGGATGAGAAGCTGGATATGAGTCGACAGTGTGCCCTTGTTGCCAAGAAGGCTAATGGCATTTTGGGCTGTATAACTAGGAGCATTGCCCGCAGATCGAGGGATGTGATCGTTCCCCCCTATTCGGCATTGGTGAGGCCTAGGGTGACCAGATGTCCTGACATTATCGGGACAGTCCCGATTTTAAAACATTTGTCCCACGTCCTGACCGCACATCGGTCGGGACGCCCTTTGTCCTGATATTGGGGACTGCTCACCATCACCACCAAAGTCCTGGGGCTGGCGTGGCGACGCTTCCTGGGGCCAATCCCGGCAGCGCGCCCGCCCGCCAACAGGAGCCTGCAGTGCTGGCGGCCCCTAGGCACAGAGGCGTAGGGGGTCTCCACATGCTGCACCGGTTCCCTCCTCCCAATCAGAGCTGCGGGGGCGGGGCTTGAAGGCAGCAGTGGGAGAGCGCCCCACCCCACCTGACCCGCCCCTAGGAGCCAGAGGGACCTGCCAGATGCTTCCCGGGCGCTGCCCCAGGTAAGCACCGCCAGGACTCCCCACCTCGCCCCCCGGCAGGTCCCTCTGGCTCTTAGGGTCGGGGCCCCACGCGTGGCCGCCATCCCGGGAAGCGCAGCGAGCCGGCACGGCTGCAAGCTGGGGGAGAAGCCCGCCCCGAAGCGGCGGCGCAGCGCCATTGGGGGAGCTGCCACCTGGCTCCGGGCGGCTGGAGGGGGCCCTGGCACTGCCCCGCCCTGCAGACCGCATAGCTCCGCTCCCCACTCACTGCGCAGACAGCTCCCTGTGGCGTGGGGGCTCCGTTTAGTGCTGGGTGCTGCGCACGCCAGTGGGGTAAATAGCTCCCCGGCCCCCGCCACACCGCCCCCACATGGCTGCCCTGCCCGGGCCGCTGCCCGCCAGCAGCCGTGACCCAACGAGGGTGTTTGGCTGGGGATTGCAGCCTGCAGAGGCCGGAGGCGGGAAGGGCATCAAGGGGTCCGCGGCAGAGAGCAGGGGCGGGTGGTGCCTCAATGTGGGGCAGTTTCCCATGTGTAGCGGGGGTGGGGGTGGTTATAAAGCCAGGCGGGAGGGTCAGTGGCCACTTTGGGTGAGTCTGCACCACAGTTTAAGTGCAGGGTTAGTGGGACTTGAGTCAGCTGAGCTGTGTTAGGGGGCCCTGGGCTTAGGGTGACCAAAGGTCCCAATATTAGAGGCTTTGTCTTATATAGGCAATTATTTCTCCCCCCCCCACCCCCACCCAAAAAAAGTGTCCCAACTTTTTACACTTGCTATCTGTCACCATAGTGAGGCCTCATCTGGAGTGCTGTGTCCAGTTTTGGGCCCCACACTACAAAGATGTGGAAAAATTGGAAAGGGTCCAGCAGAGGGCGACAAAAATGATTAGGGCGCTAGAGCACATGATTTATGAGGAGAGGCTGAGGGAACTGGGATTATTTAGTCTGCAGAAGAGAAGAATGAGGGGGGATTTGATAGCTGCTTTCAACTACCTGAAAGGGGGTTCCAAAGAGGATGGATTTAGACTGTTCTCAGTGGTAGCAGATGACAGAACAAGGAGCAATGGTCTCAAGTTGCAGTGGGGGAGGTTTAGGTTGGATATTAGGAAAAACTTTTTCACTAGGAGTGTGGTGAAGCACTGGAATGGGTTACCTAGGAAGGTGGTGGAATCTCCTTCCTTAGAGATTTTTAAGGTCAGGCTTGGCCCTGGCTGGGATGATTTAGTTGGGAATTGGTCCTGCTTTGAGCAGGGGGTGGGACTAGATGACCTCCTGAGGTCCCGTCCAACCCTGATATTCTATGACAGTCCGATCTCAACGGATCGGCTTTAGAGCAAACCAAGAAGGAGTGCATTGTGAGTATCACTTGGAGCAACTGAGCATTTCTC